TTGCTAATTGCTTTGCCGATTATGTTATTCAGCCCTTGGATTGTCAAAGTGGTTTGTTTCTAAATGGCTTACAAGTATGTGCATATGTATGTGCACGTGTGTGTCCTGAAGGCAATGCACAATAAGCCAGGGGAGGTGCAACCGTGCCGGATTATGGACTTTTATGAACCGCAATGAATGCGTTTCCATGCAGGTCCATTAAAGCGAGCCGTGTTCTGCTGATCTCTACCAGCAGAGCATCTCGCCCTTTGAGGACAGATGGCTCAAAGGCAGGGCAGACTCAAGGGATAAGGGAAATGAACTCCAGGAGATAAGACTGGAAAGGGCAGCGAACAGAGCAGCTGTGATGAGTCCGCAGCATTGAATGCGGACTCCCGCCCTGGCTCCAAGTCTCTACCTTCTACCTGTGTTAAGACTGGCTCGAAGTCTCAGGTGTAACACAAGGAAAAGACAACAACTCCACTCATGCTGCTCCGGTGCGGAGAAGAAGGAATGGAGTCGCTCAAGGTGCTTTTGTGGGATCGGGGTCCGACTCAGCTGGAGTGGGAGGGAATGATTTCACAGTGCGGACCTCCACGCGCTTTTTGTCACACGAGGTAGAGTCCAGACGCTAGCTGAAGACCATCCTCTGGGAAAGCTTTCAGGCCCGCGGTGGCTGTGCCAGATGCTTTCTGATCCGGACACTAAGGTTCACGCCTGCTTGTAAACAGCTCCACAAAGCAGCAGGGTGCCTGGCCCCTGGGATTTTGGATTATACTTGTTCTCAGGTTACCAGGTAGGACTCAGAAGAACGAGGTGCTCAAGCCTGTTCCTACCATGGTCCATGGGGTTTGGGCATTACTTCCAGAGCAGCCAAGCCTGTTCCTTTAGGGAGAGACCGAGAAGGTGACCTCATAAGCTGCCTTCCAGGAAAGGCTAACTAAACCGGACACCCTCGAGCAGCCCCACTGACTTCCATAGAAATAGTACGGCCAGGAGTAAAGCAAGCGTGATGAAGTCCCACGCCCCAGCAGGACGCAGCCTTCTGGAGAATGACCAAATGCCACCATCTGACCTTGCATCAACCCTTGCCTTCCTGGTGGTGAGTTCCTGCTCATTTTCCACCCAAAGATGCTTCCAGTGAGCCCTATGGGACCTACTCCCTCGAGTAAAGCAAAGTTACTATTGCCACCTCATCTGAAACTTGTTGAACAAATTCTGCAAGAAGCATTAGAAAAAGTCGCTCCCATTACGTGACTCCAGAAATTACAGGAAGAGGCACAACTGATTAGCAAGGTACAACTAATTAACTGATTGCAAGCCAAGTCACCAGACCCTTTGAGCCATAAACTGGGGCCACTATAAGTTGAAGGGAAAAGTCTGTGAATATATACCTCTAATGTAGCATAAAGACGACAAAAGGTCAGGTCCCCAGATTGCAAATATGGCTGCAGCCCCACTGACCTCATTAGCCGAGGACCTGGACTGTGTTTCTAGTGCGACCCAAAGCAGGTGATGCTAAAGCGTTGGTATTTTTAAACATCCCCTCTCATCCATTTCCACCTTGTTCTTTCCGAGAACATGAGCTCAGACTTGAAATAGCCATCAATGGCTCTCAACATGGCTGAATCACCACTAGACTATGCCTTTAAAAGCTTCCTCTGGCAATTGTTTAGCACTCCACCCTCTTCCTCTCCAGCGTGGAGACTAAATTTTCTCTTTGTTATTATTGCATGGAAATAACGTTGGGGTAAAACACATGAGAAAAATCAAACCAGAAAGAAACTTCCGTCTTTTGCAACAAGATAACAATGACTGAGCAGTTGAATAACCGGTGGCCACAAAGAGTTGCAAAATTAAGAAGGTTGCTCTCTCTTCCTCGTAAGATGACGTCAGTCTAATACCACCATCTCTGCATTAGACACTCCCTGATTAAATGTGCATTTTCCTTCTCTGGCAGGTTTGATCCAAAGTCCACTGAAATGCCTTTCTTTAACTTCAATGGGCTTTCAAACGGGCTCGGTCCTCGCCAGCTCAAACCCGGTGCCTGCGCAGATCCATAAGCAAAGGAAGAACTTTGGCAAACTTTTCCCCCGCCCCACTTTTCTTACTAGATTGAACCTGTTTCTTCTTAAATTCACCCTTCCCCTCGCTATACTGGGCAAGATTTTGATTCCACTGGCAACGCTCCGCTGGCTTTAATGGTGAAGCATTAACGAAACGGAGCTGGAAATTCAGCCTCTTTCCGTGCCATCTGCTTTTAACTAGTGGAAGAGGGGAGTTCCTGGGAATAAAAGTCACGTGGCACCACAATTTCAAAACAGCCCTATTCATTTGCAATGGTGCCACTCCAAAATATAACTATACCCATGTTTAATTAGAACCCAGCACTGCGAGTCAGAGCGATCTCCTGCAAAACTTTTTCATCTGATCTGGGAAAATGGCTTAGTCAGAGGACAGCCTATTCCATAACACCATAGTTAGCACGCACCACAAACCACACTTGTAAATGCTGCTGCAGTCAGTGGGCAGCATCCCCGTCTGCTGGTCCAAGGCACTGGTAAACCAGGCTTTGTAAGGGTACCAATCCAGTGCAAACATTTGCACTGACTGCTTTCATCTTAAGGTAAATTTCTTGGGAGATCCCTTTATGTGACATGTCACCATCCTCCTCCTCCTTTCAGAGCTCTGCAAGATCATGTCATTCCTGCGGAGACGGCAGGAACGCTACAGATGGTTTAATTAGGCCGCTTCTGTTTCAAGACCTCTAACAGATCAAATACCCGATCCTCCTCATTCAATTAATGCTCTGTGGGCCCCGGATTGACTGGCAAAGGGACAAAGAAGATAAGAGACCATGAATTTTATGAACCATAGCTGTAAAATAATAAAAGCGAGTGAAAGCTCATTGGTTTATCCTGGCGATTTCCTTTCCACACCAAGGCTGATAACTTGGTTTCAGAGTTATCAGCACTGCCTTCAAGTAACTCAACTAGCTCTCTTCTAACAAGTAACAACAGCAACAAGTGCAGAGATACTTGTCCACTGGAGTAGCTTCTGCTTCATACGCTATTTATTTCACTCCACTTTTTAATTGGATTTGTGGGGGGAAGGACAATGAGGCTTTGTGGCCAAAGTTTGTTAAGTGCCAGGCCAAAAGGAGATGTGGCCACTAGCCAAAATGGTGCATTTCAGCCAGGCGCCAATGGAAGGTGCCAACTTTTTCGCTTCTGCTATCTGCACTCTGAGCGTTGCTTTGTTTAAGAAGCTTGGAAGCAAAACTCCTGGTAAAGGGATACTTAGAGAGCACTGAAAAATACAGTTTTGCTCACTGCTATCACAGACGGAAAGTTGCATCTTGCCTACTGGTTTCAGTCGCTGTAATACCTGCCTGCCTCCAATAATCAGCCATGAGATGGGCGTTCAACAAATACTGATGGTATTTCAAATAAGGACAATTGCAAACCTTAGTTCTCTGAAAGAATGGCTCACTCAGATATGCAAGTTGTTGCAAGTGAGCTCAGAGATGCAAGTGAGTCAGGAAGGTACTGGTTATTCCCAGTTGCCAGCAAAAAGACTCCTGAAAGTCACCAAACTTTTTTTTTCCTCTCACTCTCTCCCCATAAAAAAGGCTATTTTTGAGGCTTTTCCTCCTTTTTATCGAGCTCGCGCACATCCGAACTAATTAGATTCCAGCACCATCTGCACAAGCAATGTAAATCAGGATTGCAGGGAGTTGGGGAACGCAGGGAGTTATGCATTCTGGGAAGCCATACATGATTAGTCACACAGCATTAATCTGCCTCCCCTCACAATAGCTGCCGAATTTCGACCGAATCCCAGCTGTCGCTCTTTGAATGAAAGAAAACAAGATTTAGAGCGTCAAGCGTTGGTAAGGGCTTCTGCGCAGGGGGAAAAAAAAAAGTGGCGTGCATTCATTAGTGGCTCACAAAGGGACCCAGCCTTTGTCCATTAAATTGCTCATGTGCCTGATTAATTTGCTGATTTCTTTTCCAAGGGGCTGGGGGTTTGGATGGGCGGGGGGAGAAGGGGGCAGGAGATGCCAAACTGGGTAGAATAGTAGAAACGCAATCGCTGCGCAGATGCAATCCCCCCTCCCCTCCCCATGTTCACGGCCGTTCAACAGTTGGGATGGAAATGCCTTCAGGTCCCACCGCTTCTTAATTGGAAATTTGGGGCAGGGCAGGAGCGTCTTCTGGGCCAGCCCCAAACTTGTGCATGCGAAGCAGGCGGAGGGGGCATCGGGCTGGAACACGGAGTCTCGGCCATTCAGATTTCTTTTATGTATTAGTTTCACAAAAAGGGCTGGAGCCTTATTCATTTCTATTTGGTTATTGTTCTCTGGGAGCCGGGAGTGAATGAGCCATCACTGCGGTGGGTCGGTTACTCCTTCAGGGAGTCCGGACATTTCACCCAGGGGTTTTTCCACGACCGGACTGAGCAGAACTCTCCCAGAAAAACACCTTGCGGAGCAGAGCCTCTTATGGCCCCTCTTACAGAGTAAGCCATGCATTCCCATGAACCAGGGACCTGCTGGATACCAGGGGCCCGAGCCCTAGTTAGAGATCATCAGCTCTACCGACATGAGTGAAGTCACAGTCCCCGATACTAGGACTCCAATGTCAGTCCCATGGAGGCGAAGGGCTAAGCGCTGCTGACAGTCACTCGTCACCAAGTCTGGCCTCAGGTTCACGTAAATAATAAATAAAACCTGAATAAGACCATCCTGACTCTCCCTCCTGGTCCGAACAACACCAAACCTTTGGGCCCACCTGGCTCTATTAGTGCAAAACAGGGCGAGTCACATGAATACAACCAGCAGGATTTGATGCCAAGGTCAAATTGGGCACCCCAACTGGGTGCCAGGGGCCTGCAAATGGCATGTGCCTCTAGTACAGAGCATGCATTTCATCCTAGGAAATCCAGGCTGTCAAAGCAAGAGGCAAGCGTGTTTGTCCAGATTAAGGAAACTCAGTGGCTGAATTCTCTTTCATACTTACAGGCACTGCCCTGTCCCATTGAGGTAAGCTTCACACTTTCCCCCATTCAAGCAGGATTCGGCAGGCTGCATACATTGTAAACCTGCAAACAGAAGGTGAGAGTTAGCCAGGAGTCACGTGCCTCTGAACCTAAAGAAGGGACATCAAGGCAGGCCTTCCACTGATCAAGGCGGTGGAGTCAACACGTGGGATCTGCCGCATCTAGGACTTCACTCGGAGTAGGTCTGAGCCAAGACAAGCCCGCGTGTGAGCAGCCTACGACAGCAGGTCTGCAGAGAGCCCGCAGCTTTGCCAAACTCCTGGGAGCGAGGGGCTCTCGGGAGAAGATGCCATCAAATGATGCACCACACAAAAATGCACGGCTGATTGTGCTGTGACCAATTTCTAGGCACAACGGGCTTTTCACAGGGCCCAGTCTCTTCTCCACTCAGGGAAAAGCTGTTTTTTTGCAAAGTTTGATGGACTAGGAACTAGATGCTGTGCTCTCCACTCAGGAAAGCTCTCGGAGAAACACCCATGGAAAACCTGCCTGGGTAAGGGAACAGAGGTTGGGGCCGGAAAGTTTGGGTGACAAGGACGATTCTGCAAACCTAAGCAAGGGACCCAACCAAAAATCATTGCTCACTTGAGTAGTCCATTGAAGTCTACTCACTAGACCTGAACAGGCTGCTAACATGGCCCCGAGAGTCAAATGTCTGCTTTCAACTCTCTGGAAAAAGTTCACTGCCATACTGACGATAATGGCTCCGGATGTACAGTCAAAAACTTCTGTAAAACCCATAGAAATAATAAAGAGTAAAAATGCCCAGGGAGAGGATGGGGGGTGGTTAAACCAAGAGCAACAACTGCTGGAGGGTCCAGAGCACCAGCAAGACTGGGGGGCGGGGGGTACCAGGGATGCGCATAAGGTGTTTCCAGTCCAGGGTGTTTCCTTCGCAGATTCACCCCCAGGGCTCTGCTGCAGGGCGGCGGGAGAAGGGAGCCGCGAGGCAGCTTTAAA